ATATTATTCACCAGTATTTTTACCCCCCCCCCATTTTATTCACCATTATGTTTATTTTCCTCCCCATTTTTATTCGTCAGTATTTTTATTCCCTGTCAATATTAGTCGGCATTATGTTTATTCTCCTTCTCATTAATCTCCCTAATATTGTTCGCCAGTATTTTTATCCCCCCCCCTCCCTCCTTTTATTGATTCTCAACTATTATTTGCCAGTATCTTTATTCACCCAAATATTTTTATTTTCTAAAAAATAAAAGTCAAAAATGCACTTTACTTGTTGTAAGATATGATCGCAATCTTTTAAATAATTATGTTAAATAAAGATTTCGTACTCGATAATTATAATTTTAAAAAAGTATCTTTCAAACTAAAAAAGGTTTCAAACTGAAAAAACTAAGAAAGTAGCTATCGAAAAATTAAGGAAGAATCCGACAAACAATCGGAACAAAAGTTAAGCCAATGTCATAATTTCGTATTTTAAAAGAAAATTTTTAAAGAAACTTTAAATTTTAAATTATTCTTTTCAGTAGAAGCGTAAAGAATTTAATTTTCTACATTTTGAACAATTTAAAGTTATATTTGAATACAAATTATACTTTTTTGTCAATAATAAATTATTATAAGTAACATAACCTAAAATTTAACAAATATGTTTCATTATTGACAGAAAATTGTAATTTTTATTCAAATGCAACTTTCAATCGTTTTAAATGTTCAAAATTAAAATTCTTCGCCTTTCCATCAAAACGAATTTAAAATTTAGTCTTTTTCTTGTAAATTACGAAATTATGACATTGGACTAATTAACATTTTGTTTTGACTGTACATCAGATTTTTACTTACACTTGACGACCAAAAAAAACTCATTTTAGACATTTTACAAAACTGACAAAAATCACATTCTATGTTTTATTTTACTGACTTTTTCCTAATTTTCATAAAAAATATTTACTTCTTTCTTCTCCTGCTAATAAATTGAATTCATGCAACGAATTTTATTATTCATGAAAGAATTTAAATATATTTATAAAAATAATTTAATTCTTGCGAAGAATTTTATAAAGAATTTTAAATAATTGATTACTGTCGACTAATTTCATATGCTACTTCTAATTTAAATAAAATTGAACTCCTGAGAAAATTTTTATTATTCATGAAAATAATTGAATTCTTACGAAGATTTTTATAAATAATTTCTTAAATAATTTATTTCTGTTTGGAAATTTTACGAAAATAGTAGATATTGAAAATCATTAATTATTGCGAATAGTTTTTTAAAATAATTAAATTTTACAAAGAATTTTATTAAAATTTTTTGAAAATAAGTAAATGTCTGTGTGTCATTTTATGAAATTTTTTTTGAAAATAATTTAATTCCTCAAAAGCATTTTATTGTTTATGAAAATAATAAAATTGAATTCTTGCGAACGATTTTATTTGAATTTTTTAAAATAATTGAATATCCAAGAAGAAATTTATTACTTTTAAAAATAATTGAATTCTTGTGATGTTTATTATTTATGAAAATAATAAAATTTAATTCTTGCGAACGATTTTATTTGAATTTTTTAAAATAATTAAATTTCCAAGAAGAAATTTATTACTTTTAAAAATAATTGCATTCTTGTGATGAATTTTGTTATCTATGAAAATAATTGAAGTTTGCAAAGAATTTTATTAAAATGCCTCAAAATAATTGAATTTTTGGGAATAATTTTGTTATTTATTGACATAATTGAATTCTTTCGAAAAAATATTTATGTAAATAATTGAATAATTCTTGGGAAGAATTTTATTAAAATATTAAAAAATAATTGAATTCCTGTGAAAAATTCTAATATTTTTGTAAATAATTGAATTCTTAATTAGAAATTTATAAACATTGTTTTAAATAATTAATTGTTTCGAAATATAATAAATATTATGAAAATTTTATTTAAAATAATTGAATTCTTGTCAAAAACTTTATTTCTGAAAATAATTGAATTTTTTGATTAATTAATTTAAAATATAGTATTTAAAATAATTGAAATTCTTCGATGAGTTTTATTATTTATAAAAATAATTGAAATCTTGCTTAGAATTTTATCAAAAACTTTTTTAAAAAATTGAATTTTCATGAAAAATATTATTAGTGAAAGTAGGAATTGAATTATTGTGAAGAATTGTATATAAATTTTGTTAAATAATTGATTTTTCGAAATTTTTTTTTTTAAATTCTATTTTACGTTAATTGAATTCGTGTGGGAATTTTATTATATATAAAAATAATTGAATTTTTGATGAATTTTATCAAAAATAGTAGCTTTTAGTGGCTGAAATCTAAAAAAGTACCCAAATAGTAGTACAACGTAAAAAAGTAGTAAATAGTAGGAAAGTAAGATTTATTTTTTACAGTGAATGTTTAGAAACATTTTTAACTTCATTTTAGCCATTAGAGTATTATTTTAAATCTTAAAGTTATGACTTAATAGTTTTAAATTTTAAAATAGTCAATTAATCATTTAGGCTTTAAAAATTATTTTAATTTTCTTAAAAATTTATGCACATAAAAAGTAGAGATGAATTTAATTTTAAAAAAATTTATTTTTTGATTTTTAGTTTTTTAAAAACGTTGGTGACTTTAGCCTAATTAGTTTTAAGATGTAAACGGTTTCGGACTTTGTTTATTAATTATTAATTTTTTACTTTCTGTTAAAAGATGCCTAAATATAATATTGTAAATGATAATCAATGCTGTGGGTACTTTTGTCGATATAGAAACTAGAAATTCTATTCCGAAATTCAGTGAGTAAACAATGTTTTCCAATTGCTTTCTTTCTTATAAGTATATATCAAAACAAATACGTTCTTCGAAAATCCATATTTATTTTTACAGAAGTAACTTTAACTCGAATCAGTGCATAGGCGATAATTTTATTTATTCTCTGTTCTAGTCTTTGTGTTCGAACAAATAAGAATTTAGAATAATTTTTCTTTGGGACAATCCTCAAATATAATTACATTTAATGTAGTTTGGATTGTAACATTATTTCTCCATTCACAGTAAAAAGTAAATCTTATTTTAAGATCAGTTTTAAATTCAGCACTGTCTGCTCCAATGTTAAATCATACAAAATTCATTTCTTAAATGCAGCATTGACTGCCTTAAAAATGATGTGTCTTAATTTAAGACTGCCTTCCTGCCTTAAAATAAGATGACTTTCTTTTTCCTATGTTTAATGATAATGTAACTTAAATATTGTTATTTAGCATAATGTTCGTTTAGCATTTCTCCTTTTGGCAAAATTGATATTTATCATAAATATTTACAAATACTCAGCATAAATATTTAGCACAATCAGCATATTCTCGTTTAGCGTAATAATTATTTCGAAATGTTTGTTTAGCACGACTTTTTATTTGCCAAAACGTCAAATTAGCATAAATTGCATTTGACATAGCAAATGTATAAATATTATTTAACGTATAATGCCCAGTCAGTATAGTTTGTATTTGACATGCTGTTCAAGTTAGTACAGTTTGTATTTAACCTAATGTCTTCAGGTGAGTGCAGTTTGCATTTGACATAATGTGCAGTTAGTATAATTTGTATTTGACATAATATGCATTAATATAATTCGCTTTTTACATAATTCATGAAGAATAAATTATTGTACACAATAAATTAATACACAATACACATTTACTACAAATTTACAGTTGAGTTAATGCTAGAAAACATTGTCACAGAAGCGGTTGTTAAGTAATCAACAGTAGTTAGTCAAATTTGTAATGTGCTTTTGTAGCATAAAGAGTAGCATACATAGAGTTTAACTCTAAATGTCCAATCACTAAATCTAAATCGGAAGTCGATCAACGACTTAAAAGCTTTGAACTCTAGTTTTAAAACAATTGCTGATTGGGTGGCTGTAAGAAGGCAGCTGGTACAAACAGCGCATGACTGCTGATAATCAGCAAAAACTAAACATCGTATCGTAAATACGGTATTTCATCAAGTGCTTCAAATAGCGTGTATGTACGCTGATATTTAGGACCGCTATTCCATCAGCTGATTCAAATAGCGTTTTCACGTCGATAAACGATAAACGCTGTTCCATCAGCTGATTCAAACAGCAATAAACACCATGATAATCAGGACATGCAACCTGATGGAAACATCGTAGATACGCTAGTAAAATAGCGTACACACGCTGTTTGAATCAGTCGCACACTTATACCCACCCAATCAGCGTCTTTTCACAAAATAAAAATATTGACAATTAAACATTTAATAGTACAATTCGAGTTCAAAATCTTCATTTTCTGCAGAACGATTTTCAATTCGTGCACTCAAAAATCTACTTTTACAAAAATCTTTTGCACTTTTAAAACTAGACTTTAAGGTTTTTTAAAGTCTAGTTAACCATAACTTTAAGGTTTTTAAGCCTTATGGTTTAGTTAACCACAACTAAGATTTTTAAGCCTTAAAGTCTAGCTAACCACAACTGTAAGGCTTTTAAGCCTTAAAAAGTCTAGTTTGTTTTTTGTTAATTTATTATGAGTTTATGCTACATTTTTAAGATATACAAGATGTATTTATACTTTAAGGTTTTTAAGCCTTAAAGTTTATTTAACCACAACTTGAAGGCTTAAAAAACCTTAGTCTAGTTTTAAAAATGCGTTTGATTTATGCTAATTTATTATGAGGTTATGCTACATTTTTAAGATGTATTCTCAAGATGTATTATCAAGATATATTTTTCAAAGCTACACAGTTATATTTGAAGCATTAATGTGTTACATTAGTGTGATACATTATTGTGTTACTGTCTCCTGCGCAGTGCTATTGAGTGTTAGTAAATGCTTGTTATTGTGGCTTGTACAGCCGGATTAGTAAATTTGGTTGGTTTTCAATAAAAACCCAGGTTAGTAAATGTTTTGCTGCTAGCTTAAAGTGGTGATTGTGTTGTTTTAATTTTAGAGAAATTTTTTTTATTTTTTTTTTGTGAAAAGCTTACTTTTCCCTGGCTTGAGCATCCGAGGGGACAGCAGATCCTTTTGCCTTGGTGTACATCGTAACGGCTTGGTAATCCTCGCGACGTAAACACACGAACGTGTCGGCTCGTTTTCAGTAATGTCCGACAAGGACGTGGAGTGGGGACACAGGCGAAGGCGTCTGGAAAAAAGGCACACGCGCCCGGTTTTTTGCACTCGCGTCACTTGTACGTTGTCACACCCGGTGTCTTCGATCTACAAGTTCAAAATCAAAAAACCGCATGACTCCCGTCTTGGATGAAAAATTAGAGGAACGCGCGCCGTCATCATCGCTCTTGACGACGACGAGCGATTTTCTTTGAAGAACACACACTGTCTCTCTCTCTCTCTCTCTCTCTCTCTCTCTCTGTCTCTCGTCTGTCTCTCTTTCTCTCAGTTTCCTAACTAGTTTTTTTTCTTTCTTTCCAGTGGAACTAGGATTTCTATTTTTACTGTTTCCGGTTTGCTTCCAAGAGCACGGCACTGGCTAATGTTTCTATTGTTTCCAACCTGGCACTTGCGATCGTGTATGTCGCCGCCCTCGAGTCTTGCTTTTTCGCGTTCTCTCCTTCTCGTCACTCGGTCACTTAACTCTCTTCACCTCGAGCTCGACAACTCAGCCCACTGAGGCCACACTTCATCCCCTCTCCAGGGAAGACTTACTTCGTTGTGCACACGGCAATTCCCGAATCCTCGATACCTACGTTCACGTCGTGACGCGCGTCGTGTCCTGTCGTGTCTTCTCTCTTTTCCTACCACTTCTACAGGGTCGTTCTCGAATACAAACACAAACACACACACATATACACATAAACACACCCAGAGAAAAAGCAGCCTCTTCGTTGTACACCGAACTCTGGTTCTCTTTTGCGGAGCATCTGACACTTCCACGCGTCGGACATATACACGCACCAGGGGCGTAATTACCTGAAATAATCACTAAATTTCTCGCCACAGTTACTTTTCTCAATGCCCATTCCTACTCCTTTTTTTCCAACAAGAGGTAGAAATTTGTTAAGTTTCCAAATACTCCAACGCTTTTCTGTAAAGAAACAAATTTTTTCTGACTTATTAAGAGAAATTTTTAACAAACGTAAAAGAAACGTAATAGCCGTGGAGTTTGTACGTCACTGGGGCAAGCACTCACACACACCTTGCCCATGTTGCGCGCGCACAACAATTTCTGATCCCAGTGTCGTAGTTAGATTAGGTTTTACATTGTGAAAAAATCGAATATCTAGAAATTCAAGTTGGGAAGGAGTGTAGCTTCGTTTTCTTTGCAACAAAGATTCACGAAGGTAGACTCATATAAATCGCAACCATGTTGATGAAAGAATTAACAACTTGTTTATTTTAGAGGTTATGATCCTCCTTCCCCTTGGAATTCCCATTTTCTTTATTTTCCCTCAGACTTTGCGATGATGAGAAAAATCGTTACTGGAAATTTTTCCCTTTTTGATAGTCAACACAGTTTCTCTATCAGAATATCAAATTGAGACCAAAAAAAAAAACACGCTGCTTAACTACTTTGATACATTTTTGAAAATGAGACACAAAACGTATTGCTTTGTAACTATTTTGATACATTTTTTGTCTCAATTTAATATCCTTAAAAAAAACTGAAATAGAAATTATGCGTGGGAGAAAGAGAGAGCAAAGTTCATTTTAAAGAAAATTCGAAAAAAAAATATTAGTGTCATTCGTGACTCTTTTAAGGAACGCGAAATCGATGACTTGAGAAAATTATTCTAACCTCTAATTGGGCGTTCTTTTGGTAATTATAAATTTTACCTACTAATATATAATATAAAAAATTATATTCAGTTTATATCTTTCGTATCATTCTCATATTTTCCCTAAATGTTGTTTTCAGACATTCAAGTAGCTTTCACGTAGAAATTTTTCGCAACAAACTATTGAAGTGTGAACTATATTCTAATGGTGAAAGTGATGCTTTCATTATAACTAATTACATTTCCAAATAAAATTTTACCGCAGCTCAGAGAAAATTAATTTTTCTATTCTTTTTTTTTCAAAGAAGTATATAAACGGTAAATTATAAATAAAGTGGGAAATTTTCATTTTTATCCTAAGTGACGCCATTTTAAAAACAGGGGCGTATTAAAGTTCTACAGGTGCCCTTTAAAATTTCTAAACATTTTAATTCAAAATATTCTTGAATTCATTATAGAAATTTCAAATAAATTCAAGAATATGTGATGCGACACTTTAGGGGGTTTTCAGGGCCGCTGACACAGAAATTGAAGTCGGATTTTTCATATTTTTAAAATTCAAAATGGAGGATCCAATATGGCGGACTTATTTTTAAAATTGATCAAATTAACTTGAAACTTCTTACTCGGGGGTTTTTGGGGTCGCTGATTATAAATTATATGGACGGGAATTTTTTTAAAATAATAATCGATATCGCTTGAAACTTGTTATTCAGGAGTTTTTGGGATCGTCTAAAATGCATCAGACATTTTATGTTTTCAAAAACTGAATTCATATTCGTAATCAGCAACCATAAAAAACCCCAAGTAACAAGTTTTAAGAGAATTCGATCAATTTTAAAAAATTCGTCCAGCATATTGAATCCGCCATTTTGAATTTTGAAAATCTGATTCCAGATTTATAATCAGCAACCTGAAAAACCTCCCGAGTATCAAGTTTTAAGTGAATTTAAGCAATTTAAAAAAATAAGTCCGCCATATTGGATCCGCCATTTTGAATTTTTAAAATTTGACTTCATATTCGTAATCAGTGACCCCAAAAACCCCCGAGTAACAAGTTTCAAGTGAATTTGAGCAATTTTAAAAAATAAGTCCGCCATATTGGATCCGCCTTTTTGAATTTTTAAAAACTGACCTCAGATTCGTATTCAGCGACCTCAAACACTATCTAGACATAATCATCAAAGTATTTTATATTGGTGGTTAGACACAATTACATTTATTGTAAAAAACCGCTTTTTTAAGTTAATTTATTTATAACATTTATTTTATCAACAAAAAAAAAATTTTTTTTTGTCACTATGCCGCAAAGGGTTAACAGAGCTGGGCTTTGTTCTTTAGTTATATTGTAAATTTGAAACCAGTTCTTATTTAATATTTTAGATGTGATAAGGGTTCGAACATCAATAATGATTAATAATAGATTTTCTTTATGTATTTTTACTCCAAAGTTATAAACCTAACCTAAAATTGAATGCTTCTTGGGTACCTTTCTTAGGAGCGCGTCACATATTTTGAAATTAAAAATGATATTAAAAATTTTCTAGATTAAGAAAAGTGGCGTTCGACAAAAACATATTTTTTTTTTGCAATTCAATTAGTAACCGTTCTAAAGTCAAGAAAAAGAAACTTTTAAGGTGGTCACGTGCTCACCTTGGAGACATTAAGGGGCGCCACTGGTGAAAGTTTAAAACGAGTGGTAATTCAATGTCTGAAACTACAATGTATATATTGTGGTAAAATTTCATTTATGCATACACAAATAATGAACTAAACAATGATCTCTTGAATTTGTTTACCAATTAGTAAATTATTAATTGAAAAATTATGACGAAAAAAAATCGGCTGGGATCGAAATTCATGACTTAATAGCCGATTGTATTGTGATAACTATAATAATAATTACTATACTAATTATAATATTCAAATAAATAAATAATAAAAATAATAATCATATACTAATAATTAAAATACTAATAAATATAAAATAATAGTTATTATAATAATAATTATACTATAATAATTACAATACTAATTATAATAAAAATAATAGTTGTCATTAATTAATAATTATTTATCTGAAAGAAATTAAGAAATTTGTGTCATGAAAATTAAAAAAAAACCACCCAATTATTTGAGACATTTTCTCTTTTTCGCGAATTTTACAAAAAATTAAGTGAAAATAAGTTTGAAAATTAAAATTTATTTTCAAAAAATAAATTTTTTGTCGACCTTTCGAAATATATCAAGGTACATTTTCCTAAATAGTTAATCCTAGAAATTTATTTAAATAAGAAAGAAAAATTTTATAATTTTGTCAAAATTTAATGATCCACATTAGACAAGAATTTGAAAAAAAAAATTTAAGATAGAAAACAAAGTTGAATTGAATAAGTTGACGAGAGATACAGCCCTGATCACGTTCCCTCGACTCCATTGGACCCGCTCTCAACATATATATATATATATACACACACACACACACACAAAACCAATACATTGAAAAAACGTTACTACGGGCACGCGTTACACACACACACACAAACAGAAAACACATACAAATATTCAAAAAACACACACACATAGAGGCGAAAGTTTATCGGCGTGTGTATATACATATACATTTTGCTGGAGAGCAAAAGAGAGAAAAGCGGAATAACCCGAGTCGAGCCGAATCGAGCCGATATAAAATAGCCGACAATTGACGAGGTTGCTCAAGGGGGGTGGCGAGCGGAAAGACGGGAAATACACACCGGGCCGTTCTCTCGTCTGTACCGCTTCCCCTTTTTCAATTTTATCTTCAAATCGACGTATCGTTGCATTTAAACAATGCCACTACAAAACTGTGAAGGGAAAGTTTCGCATTTCTTTCCTAAGATGAGAGTGCAAGAGAGACACAAGAAATTTTTTTTTTCATGCAACCACACAAACACCATTGCAATAATTAGAACGGTCTTGTTTTTGCTCGCGAAAAAAAAAAGTTGAAACTATAATCTCTATACTATATTAACTTCTTCAAAAAATTGATCCTCAATGTTTTGATTCTTATTTATAAATAATAATAATAATAATACTTCTTTTTATTGTTGAATAATAATAATAATAATACTTGGTATGTTTGCAGATTTGTCACATATTCCTCACAAAATTAAAAAAAAGATTATTGTTGTTAATAATAATATTACAAATATTAATATATTAATATTATTTATAATAGTAAGATTTATTATTATTATAATTATTATCAATAAATTATTATAATATTTATAATTACTATTAATAGTGGATAGTAGAGAAAATATTCTGGGAAAAATATTTTGTTTTTGTTTGCATGAATCTAGAGTTACATTTTTTCTTTGCTCCAAACAAATATCCAAATTGAAATTAACAAACATTTAAGGAAAAAAAAACAAGTTGGGAAGAATCGAACCCTGGCTCTGCAGCCGCGAGTCGGGAGGTGAAGCCACTTGACCATCTCACAAGGTTAAGTCCTCAAGTGGTAAGTATTTTCCCAGCTGATTAAAATGCGAAATTTTTTTAAATTCTTCGGTACAATTGTTGTTAGAAAACAAAATGATAATATTATTGTATATTCTTACCCCTAATTCAAGAAATTTTGTTGGAATTATTAACCTTCTTCAAACTATTTGCCTAAAAATTTGTATTTTGATAAAGCCATTCTAAAATGGCAGATGAAATGTGGCAATCAGGTTTAAAAGAACAATAATTATTATTAATATTATTTATAATAGTAAGATTTATTATTATTATAAATGATTACAGTTATTATTAGTAAGCAGTGAATTATCGCTACTAATAATTATTATTTTATTATTATTATATTAATAAATAATAATTATTATTGATAAGTAGTGGATCATAATGAAAATATTATTTCATAGATTTTGTCTGGGGAAAAAATTTTCATTTTTGTTTGTATGAATCAAGAATTATTTTGCTTCTTTGCTCCAAATGAAACTCAAAATTGAAATCAACGAAAATTTGAAGGGAGAAAAAAATCCGCTTGGGAAGAATCGAACCCTGGCCCTGGTGCACGCGAGTCTAGAGCTTAAGCCACATGACCATCTCACACGGTTAAGTCCTTAAATGGTTAATCTTTTCCTAGAGGATAAAAATGAGAGCTTTTTGAAAATTTTCGATACAATTGTTATTAGGAGACAAAATTAAGTTTCTTTTTCCACCTAATTCAAGTAATTTCAATTTATTTACCTAAAAATTTGATTTAAAAACTCTAAAATGGCAGATTTGATATGGCAATTGAGTTTTAAAAAATATTCGCATTTTTTTAAAATTTTTCAGAAAAATTTTGGAGGTAATAATAAAAAATCTCTAAACGGTTGTAACCTTTTTTTAATTTTCGAAAATCGAAGTCAAATTCGTATACTTAGTAATAAAGAAAATAAACAAAAATTGACAATTAAGAAATAAATGAATTTCATTCATTAAAAAATAAAAGAAAAAAATTTTAAAATAAAGATGAACGATTTAAATATAATTTAAAATCAACAATTGTTGATTTTAAATTATATTTGAATTAATTATATTTAAAACTAGCTGTCGGACCCGTCTTCGACGGGTTTTAGTTTCTGCTAATACATTTGAAAGGGTGTTTACCAGAAATTAAATTTTACTGTGAAAAACTAATAATAAGTTAACATTAACTATTTCGTTAGGAAAATATTACCATTTTAATCAGTGACAGACTGTTTTCTATCAAATTTGTTATTCAGGAACAGTATTTGTCAACTTGTAGTACTTTATGCGTTTGTAGTACTACAATTAATGTAGGTATTAAAAACAAATTAATATAATAAAACTTTTTTAATTTGGAGAGAAAATTCCCGGCTTTTCCTGGTCAAATTAAATTCCCGGCTATTTATCGGTTTCCCCGCGCAATTGGTAGACACTCTGTCAAATGTATTTTAGTAGAAACTAAAACCCTTCAAAGACTGGTACTGGTATATAACATATTTACTTAAAAAAGAGTATTTTCATAAAATAAGTCAATTTTTGTAGCCATCTGCAGATTTATTTATAACTAAAACTTAAAATCAAGTAAATTTAAATTTGTTAAAAAAAAATAAACCTGGTAAAATTTGGACAACGCCAGGAATTTTTTTAAACAAACATATATCCCATGCTTAACTTTTGTCTTTACATTGCTCAAAATATCTTTAGAAGTTAAGTTTGAATTAAAGAATATTGAATGAATTGGATGAATAATTATGAATTGTATTATTTTGATGACAAAATCTTAATCAGAGACCCCAAAAATACTACTGAATTAAGCTTGATAGTAATTAATAACAATTATAATTTTTTCGATTTTTTGATATCGAAATCATTTTTATACTTACATTTTAGTCATGGGATTTTTTTGTGCAAAATTATGCTAAAATGTGACTAAACAACATGTAATACTCAATTATACAGAGTTTAAAAGAAATTCATTACAAAATGTAAACTTTGAAAATTTGTGATTTTTAAAATTTTTTGAAAACATTTTTATACTTAAATCTTAGTTATTTAGGACATTATTTTTTGCAAAATTATGCTAAAATGGGACTAAATAACATGTAATACTCAACTATAGAGAGTTTAAAAGCAATTCATTTAAAAATGTAAATTTTGAAAATTTGCGACTTTTTTTTGAATACATTATTATACTTAAATCTTAGTTATTTAGGACACTATTTTTTGCAAAATTATGCTAAAATGTGACTAAATAACATGTAATACTTATTTATAGATAGTTTAAAAGCAGTCCATTTAAAAATATAAAATTTGCGATTTTTGAATTTTTCGAAATTATTTTTATACTTACATCTTAGTTAGAGGACAGTATTTTTGGAAAAATTATGATAAAATTTGACTAAATAACATGTAATACTCAATTATAGAGAGTTTTAAAGCAATTCATTAAAAAATATAAAATTTAAAAAATTTCGATTTTTTGAAATTTTTGAAAACACTTTTATACTTACATCTTAGTTATAGGACATTATTTTTGTGCAAAAATATTCTAAAATGTGACTAAATAACATGTTATACTCAATTATAGAAAGTTTGAAAGCATTTTTTAAAAAAATGTGAAATTTGAAAATTTTTGGTTTTTGAATTTTTCGAAAAAATTGAATATCTCCCGTTCTAATTAATATTTTTCAAATCTGTAAATTTATAAACCTTCCTTGGCCCAAGGTCTAACATTCTGCCAAATTTGGTTGCAAATGGTTTAGCCGTTTTTAAGTGATGCGCGAACAAAGATTCTGTGACATACATACATACATACATACACACATACATACATCCATACATACATACACGAAATTTTTTATTGGTATATTTGGAATCCTTGATACTCAAAACGAATGATTATGTGTGAAATTTAATGTTCTGAGTAATGTACAGACAAAAGTCTGATTTTATATATATAGTAGATAGTAGATAGTAGATAGTAGATAGTAGATAGTAGATAGTAGATTTGAATCGTTGATGTTTATTTAAAAAAATTTTTTTTTTTATTTTTTAATGAATGAAATTTATTTATTTCTTAATCGTCAATTTCTGTCAATTTTTTTTTTTAAACGTCGATTTTATAAATTATAACTCATTTCCCAATTGGGAAATGAGTTATAATTTATTAAAATCGACGTTTTAAAAAAATTATTAAAGTAAACCGAAATATTTGGAAACAGTGTAAACCGAAATTAAAATTATTAAAAATTAAAATCAAGATTAAAAAAATAAAAATCAAAACTTTGCGAAATTAGATAAAAATCCACTATTAAAAAAATTATTAAAAACGAACCGAAATATATTTCATGAAATTTAAATTTGTTTAATCTGGAAAACTTAAAAAATAGATATCAAAACTTTGCAAATAGATAAAAATTAACCATTAAAAAAATGATTAAAACGAATCGAAATACTTTATGAAATTTAAATTTGTTTAATCTGAAAAAATGTTGCCTAAATTAATCGTAAACAAAAATGGTACCTATTTAAAAAAAGATTTTGATCATTTGAAATAAAACTTTTTCCTCACTATTTATATTTATAGATTGTCCACTAATTACGTCACTTAAAACAATAATTTTCATTTATATAATAAACCTTGAGTGTGAATAATTTTTTGTTTTTAATTCTCTTGCATAATAGTAAACTTTGTCAGTTAATGTTTTCTCATCTAATTCTATTTCTTACCGGAAAATAAAACTGAGGAAAGTATGTATAACTTTTCAAGTTCATATTACTGATAAAGGTACGAAGCAACTGACAAGTACTTGTCATAAATTCTTGTCACAAGAAAAGAAACACAAATTTGAAAAAAAAAAATTCGAAATCGATCCAAATCTTCTATTGTAACGAATTTTGGTCGTTTTAATAGGTGCGGAAAAAATTACTGACAGCGATAAGAATTTAGGTCATTCAGTGTGTGAATGCTCTAGAAGTAACAAAAAAAGTAAAACTTCTTTTTATTTATAAATTTAGATATTATTTTTCCAAAATAAAAATTTTTCTGAATTAGAAAACTTTTTTTTTCGTATAGCCTTAGGCAAATATTTATGAGAATGAAAAGTTGTTTTCAAACTGAATTTTTTGTTTGTTTGCTATGCTAGAGGGGAAAAAAATGGATGGACCAGGAACAATGACTTGGGAAGAGTTCGTTGAAAATGCCGAAAGCATCATAGAAATATCGAATGCAATTGACGACCATTGGCAATTTGAAGGGGACAAGGTACGTTCGTTAGACGATCGATCGAATACAACACATAGATATATATATATGTACATATTACTCAATCCTACTAGAAAATACGTTCACATGTCTTCCTTTCAAAACATTTTTCCTGCGTTTAGATTTAATGAAAAAAAAAAATTACACAATTACTTATTTCCTACTATCACAATCACAATTTTTCTACTTTTTAGCAAGAAATTAGAAATCAAGATAGGTAAAAATTGACGAACCAAAAATTAAAACTGTTTTTCAAATAAAACCAGAAGAGAAAGAAAAGGAAATAAAAATAAAACAATGTAACGGCAGACTAAAAATAGGAGTAAAAATAAAATATAAATAAACAATATTTATTCACAAATAAATAAATATTTGTTGTTTCGTCAATTTTTATTTCTTAATAAAAATAAATTAATTAATAAATTCTGTGAAGAATTTTTATTAGCGAACAAACAGGTTTTGTATATTGGTAACAGAAAATAGAAAAGGAAGAAGAAGGAAAAAGAAAGAAGAAAATTGAACATGAGAAAATTTTTTTTTTTTTTGTAGAATATTCCTGGACAGGGTTATCTATTGCGACAAGAAAAGACTTTTATTTCAATCGACTTTCCGTGCAGTGAATCGTGTTTAAAGGCAGAAGAGGATTTGTCAAATGAGCTTTGTCTTGAATTGAGAGAAGATCCTTTTGAAGCTCCTTCTGCATTCGAGAGGCCTCTAGTTAAGGAACATCATATCCTTTGGTCTATGAGTTACAGTGTACCGGTTCTCTACTTCAACGGATGGAAATCGGGTAAAATTTTCAATAACTTCCGGTGGGGAAAGAAATTTTTTTTTATTTTTATATTTTCCTTTAATCTATATTTATTTACTTTTTTTTTATTTAAATTTATTCTGGGATTAATAATTTTCAATAAAGAAAATAGTTTCTTTCTCTATAGTTCCCGACTGAGGGAGTTGTCTAAAGACTGTTAATTCTATTCAACAGAGCGAGCTAGTTTTCCTTTCGTGGCAGTTAGTCGATAAAGCTAATCTCTTTAAATTTCTGTAATCAATAAATGACTTCGTAAAAGAAGATTGAAATATTATTTTAGGATTTTCGTTATTTTTAGAAGAAGAAAGTCGATTGGCTATCGACTTTCGAGATCTGATGGTATAGAAATTTTTGAATTAGGATAAAAATTAGAAATTACTAATTTCAGGGTTGCCACACAACCTGGAAAACCTGGAAAAATCAGAGAATTTTGATCAAAATCCTGGAAAATTGTTGTTTTCTAAAATTACTGTGTTTATTCTTGAAATCTAGTTTTACTTAAATATTTCAAAATTAATTCAATTTTAAAAGAGTTGCGTTTACAATTTTCATAAGTAGATGAACTTCAAAAGATTTTAATTTGAAATTTTGTAAAATTTCAATTTTAAATGAATTTAATTAGAAATTTTATGAAACCTAGATTTTAAAAAAAATTTTAATAACTAAAATTCTTTTGAAATTAGTTAAAATTTTTAATATATAAATATATATTTAATTGATTATTAAAAATAATGGATTTATAGAAGAATTTTAGTTAAAAACAATAAACAAATTGAATTCTGAAGCAATTAGATATGATTGCAGAAATTCAATTATTTTCAAAAATAGTAAAATTCTTCTTAGAAAATTATTTTAACAGATTTTAATAAAATTCTTGGCAAATTTTTAAATATTTACAAAAACTTTCCTGAATTTAATGATTTTTAATATCCACTACTTTAATAAAAATTCCCAAATGAGTTCAATTAGTTAAAAAAAATTTTTAAATTCTACGCAAACATTTCATTATTTTCATAAATAATAAAAATTTCATAGAAATTCAATTATCTACAAATTATTTTTATAAATTATTATTCAATTATTTTCATAAATAATAACATTTTTTACAGGGATTCAATTATTTTCGCATAAATACATATAATAAAACTCGCAACGCAAACTTTAAATTATTTTTAATACAATTTTAATGGACCTCCTCGAAAAATGTAATTGTTCTTAAAAATTTTATTAAAATTTATCAAAGAAATTAAATTATTTTAAAAATCTTTGCTACAATTTATTTATTAGAATTTACGTATTATTTTCAATACATTTTTAATTAAATTTTCTTCAAAGAATTAAATTATTTTCAAAAATTTTAATAAAATTCTTTGTAACAATTCACATTTTTTTTTGAAAATAATTTTATTAAAATTCTCCGTTACAGAAATTTAATTGAGGGCCTGAACGGATAACTGCCTGCTGCGCATAGTTGAAAGGGACTATACCAGTCAGACATCACTGAGAGGCCTAGAGGCGCTCACTGTTGTCTGACTGGTATAGTCCTTTCTCCCTTTCAACTATGCGTAGAAGGCAGTTATCCGTTCCAGGCCCGCAATTAATTTAAAAAATTTATCAAAATTCAATTATTTTCAATGTCTACTATATTTTAATGAAATTTCACAAAAGAATTACAATTATTTTAAAAGAAATTTTAATAAAATTCGTCGAAATAATTCAATTATTTTCTTCGCAGAATTCCAATTATATTAAAAAATTTACAAAAATTCTCGTCAAAATTTCAATTAGTTTTATAAATAATAAAATTCTTCGCAAAAATTAAATTATTTTCAAAAATTTAAATAACATTTTTTACAACGATTCAATTATTTTATTATTTTCATAAATACATAATAGTAAAACTCATTATCGCAGACTTTTAAATATTTTTAATACAATTTTAATGGAATTCCTCAAAAAATTTAATTATAATTTTCTTCAAAGAATTTTAATTATTTTCAAAAATTTTCATGAAATTCTTCGTAGCAATTCAAATTTTTTTCAAAATAATTTTAATAAAATTCTCCGTAGAAATTTAATAATTTTATAAAAATTTGTCAAAATTCAATTATTTTCATTGCCTACTATTTCAATAAAATTTAACAAAAGAATTCTTATTATTTTTAAAAAATTTACAAAAATTCTCGTCAAAATGTCAATTATATTTATAAATAATAAAATTTTTCTCTGAAATTCAATTATTTGAATTTCAAATTATTTAACTTCAATTATTTAATTACAATTATTTATGAATAAAATTTTATTAAAATTTTTGACAGAATTTCAATTATTTTTAATACCTATACAATTTTCATCAAATTTCTCGAAAAATGAAATTATTCTTAAAAATTTTTTAAAAAATTTGTCAAGAGAATTCAATTATTTAAAAATTTGTTGATAAAATTCTTTATGAAAATTCAATTTTAAGAAACATTTAATTATTTAATAAAATATTTATTTTTGTAGTTAAATTATTGAATTCTCGTAGAATTTTCTAATAAATATTGATTTAAAAATGAATTTCAGTTAAAATTTTAGATTATAATTGAATATTGAAAGCATTATAGCGTAGATTTTCAGAAATAATTGAATTTTCAATAAATTTAAAAAAAAAAAAATTAAAATCTTTGAAAATTTGAACTTTTTATACTTTTAATTAAGAATTCTGTAGAATTAATTTTTTTCAAAAAGTTTAATGAAATTTATTTTTTAATTATTTCAAGTTTTTAATTTCTAATTTAATGAGACAAAGCGCGATAACTCAAATTTTTCGGTAAGTCAAAGAATTTGAATATTCTCAAAGAACTTTTTCCAAAATTATTTTTAAAAAATTGACTTGAAGAAGAATTTTAGTTGAAAAATCTAGAAATGAATAAACTTAATGATGAAATAATTTTTTAAGAAGTTTCAGTAATAAAGTTGCAAGTTTTATAATAATATTATCTTTTATGTTATTGAATTTGAAATTTTTGAGAATTTTAATTTCTATATGAAAAAATAATAATGATTAAATATTTATTTTAAAATGAAGTTATTGATGTTTTCGAATAATTTTCGTTTCAAAAACTTGGAAAATTATGTTTTTAACCTGGAAAAGCTGGAAAACTCAGGGAATTCGAAAAGAGCAAAAGCGTGGCAACCCTGAATTTAATAGTAAAAAATTAATCAGAGATTCAATTATAGTAGGAAATATTGATAATTAAATCCATTTAATTGGATATAATTATTATTTATTCAGTTATAGTCACTTTTAGTTGATGTCAAAATAACGAAAAATTTTGCTAATTATGCTAATTTTGCTAATTACTCAATTAATTTTTAGTTTTAATTATGCTAATTATGCTAATGATTTTGAACTTTTTGACTCAATTAGTCATATTTGACTATATTTTCTTAATTATTTATTTACTAATAAATAGTTATTTTTTTACTAGTAAAAAATTATAGTAATTAAAAATTATTCTTTGCTTTAACAGTAATTGTTGTTTTGCCAGCTAAATAGTAACTACTTCAATTAGTCAAATTTGACTATTACCTTAATTATTTATTTACTAATGAATAGTTATTTTCTACTGGTAACGAAAAAATTATTCTTTGCTTTAACAATTAGTAAAACATAACTTTTCACTAATTATAGACACTTTTAGTTTCTGGAAAAATAACAACAAATTTTGCTAACTAAATAGTAACAAATTCAATTAGTTTTGACTATTTTCCTAGTTATTTATTTACCAAAAATAATAAATTTCTACTATTAATTAAAAATTATTTTTTGCCTCAACAATTAGTAAAAAAAAACTTTAAACTAATTATACTTATTATTTATTACTTTTAGCTTCAGCAATTAACAAAAAATAACTTTTTACTAATAACTAAATTGCTGAAGCAAAAAATCAACCAAATTTTTACTAACAATTAGTTATTTTCCACTGGTAATTTAACTAATTCTTTTTTTGCTCAAATTAGTAAAAAATAATTAAGATTAGTATTTATTAATTAATAATTAATTAGTAGATTAGTCTCTTTAGAGATTAGTAAAAAAATTCAGTCAAGATTTTACTTTCTACTCTCTAAATCAGAATTAGTTAAAAATTTAACTAAATTATTAGTAAAAAGTCGTGGCTGACTTTTTGTTTTTTATTCGTTTTTGAGACGAGAAATAATTTTCCGTGGAAAAAGAGTATTGATGTCTTATTGCACGTGGGGGTTTATGAAAGTCATCGGAATCAGCGACTGATCACCACTAGACCTTAATCTATACGGAAGTGGGGTCCGCTTACTGCGCTGATTGTTCCTTCGATTGCAGACAATCCTAAACTGGGCTAAGATGACATCTGATCAGTGGAAATGAATAAAGATTAAATTAAATATGAAAACCCATTTTTTATGCTCCTCTTTCTCTTCAATGAGGGAGCAGAAATTATTAGGAAAAATATAATTCATATCTCATATCAAAATTATCAAGCGATAATTTTATGAATCATTTTCATAATTATAGTTTCTAAATTAAAATTATATAGTAAACAATTGTCCATTTTTTTAAACCTGTAAAAATTTTCATTAATTTTCGGTAAAAATTTTACTATTTCATTTAGTAGTTTTTACATTTTTTACTAAAAGTTTCAATGAAATTGTTTAATATTTAACTCTAATAACTAAATTTATTTGTGAATTCATAAATAAATTTAAAACAAAAATTTCGATTCGAATTAAATTTTTGTTTTTAGTTGATAGTAAATTTGTTAATTTATTATTATTACTTTTTTTATAATTAATTTTTCTTTTTAAAAAAATGAATTTTTTTTTGTTTTCTCGACAGATTGTCCAGGAATCAATCCAGTATCGGTAGAAGTGGCTCAAAAGCTACTTGAAAATGAGAATTTAAATTATTCCGAATTGTCTCAAGCGATTCATCCAATTCTTGGCACATGTTTTTTGTACCTTCATCCCTGTATGTCTCAAAGTCTCCTAAAAATCACACCCAAAAGGTACAATTATTTTTTCTAAATTTAAAAATTTATTTCAAAAATTAAATTTAAAAATTTATTTTTTGCGATTTAAATTTTGCATGAAAATTAATTATAAATTCAACTCCTAAAAATTATATTAAAATAAATTAAAAAAGTAATTCGTGGAATTAAAAAAAAATTCTAATTTTTTTAAAATTCAATTATTTTTTTAAAAGATTTTACCAAATTTCAATTATTCTTAAAAGATTTTACCAAATTACAATTATTTGTAAAAGATTTTACCAAATTTCGTCAAAATTCAATTATTTGTAAAAGATTTTACCAAATTGAACCAAAATTCAATTATTCTAAAAAAATTTTTTAAAATTTCAATTATTTTAAAAATATTTTACAAAATTCCGCCAAATTTCAATTATTTTAAAAAAATTTTACCAAATTTCAATTATTCTTACAAAATTTCACAAAATTTCAATTATTCTTACAAAATTTCACTAAATTTCAATTATTTTTAAAAAATATTACCAAATTTCAATTGTTTTAAAAAAATGTTACTAAATTTCCATTATTCTTAAATAATGTTACCAAATTTCAATTATTCTTAAAAAATTTTACCAAATTTCTATTATTCTTAAAAAATGTTACTAAATTTTAATTATTCTTTAAAGATTTTACCAATTTTCAATTATTTTTAAAAATTTTTTACCAAATTCCAATTATTTTTAAAAACATTTTACCAAATTTCAATTATTCTTAAAAGATTTTACCAAATTTCAATTATTTGTAAAAGATTTTACCAAATTTCGTCAAAATTCAATTATTTGTAAAAGATTTTACCAAATTTCGCCAAAATTCAATTATTTGTAAAAGATTTTACCAAATTGAACCAAAATTCAATTATTCTAAAAAAATTTTACCAAATTTCAATTATTTTAAAAATATTTTACAAAATTCCGCCAAATTTCAATTATTTTAAAAAAATTTTACCAAATTTCAATTATTCTTACAAAATTTCTCCAAATTTCAATTATTTTTAAAAAATATTACCAAATTTCAATTGTTTTAAAAAAATGTTACTAAATTTCCATTATTCTTAAAAAATGTTACCAAATTTCAATTATTCTTAAAAAATTTTACCAAATTTCTATTATTCTTATTTTACCAAATTTCAATTATTCTTTAAAGATTTTACCAATTTTCAATTATTCTTATAAAATTTTACAAAATTTCAATTATTCTTATAAAATTTTACAAAATTTCAATTATTCTTATAAAATTTTACAAAATTTCAATTATTCTTAAAAGATTTTACCAAATTTCAATTATTTGTAAAAGATTTTACCAAATTTTGTCAAAATTCAATTATTTGTAAAAGATTTTACCAAATTGAACCAAAATTCAATTATTCTAAAAAAAATTTACCAAATTTCAATTATTTTAAAAATATTTTACAAAATTCCGCCAAATTTCAATTATTTTAAAAAAATTTTACCAAATTTCAATTATTCTTACAAAATTTCTCCAAATTTCAATTATTTTTAAAAAATATTACCAAATTTCAATTGTTTTAAAAAAATGTTACTAAATTTCCATTACTCTTAAAAAATGTTACCAAATTTCAATTATTCTTAAAAAATTTTACCAAATTTCTATTATTCTTAAAATATTTTACCAAATTTCAATTATTCTTTAAAGATTTTACCAATTTTCAATTATTCTTATAAAATTTTACGAAATTTCAATTATTCTTATAAAATTTTACAAAATTTCAATTATTCTTATAAAATTTTACAAAATTTCAATTATTTTTAAAAGATTTTACCAAATTTCGCCCAATTATTATAAAAAATTAAATTTTGTAATTTAAATAATTACATCATTTAATTATTTAAATTACAAAATTCTTCGAAAATTTTTGTCGAAGAACTTTCGGAAAATTATTAAATAAAAATTTATTTAGAGATATTTAGTTAAAAATTGTAGAAAATAATTGAATTTTAGTAAGGGTTAATGGTTGTAATTTTTAGAAATTGTTAAGTTTTTAAATTGAACTTTTTAAAATTTTATTTCTCATAGAAAAACAAATAAAAAGTATTTAAATATTTATTTAACATAAAATTATTCCAATTTTGAATAATTGAATTTCGAAATTATAGTGAAAGCGGAAAATCAGGGAAATACAAAATAAAATTTTTGAGATTAAATATAAATAAACGAATTTTTTCATGTTTTTAATTGATTGAAGCGAATATTTTGCGCCTTAAAGTCAAACCGAGGCCTCTACACTGCAAAAATAGGTGTCTTATTTGATATCTTAAAATAAGATGTAAGATGGAAAAATGGTATCTTACATCTTAAAATAAGATGTTTTCTAAAGTATCTTACTGATTTTTAAGATGTTTTATACGTCTTAGATATTTCTTCTGTCTTAAAAAAGTAAGATACTTCTGTAAGTTTTTTAAAGTATCTTAAATTAAGATGTTTCTGTCTCAATAAGATGTTTAGCGATAAGATACTTGTGAATTGTAAGATGCGAAAAAAATTTAAGTTACTAAAAACTAAGATGCATAAAATGTCTTACATATAAGCCCATAGTTAACCTCAAAACTTTTTTCCCAAAAAATATGAAGAAAATGTGTACGAAGATACTTTAAACATCTTAAATTAAGATATTTCAAATAACTTAAAAATGACTACCAAAACATCTTAAATAAGATACTTCTTTTTGCAGTGTAATGATTTAATAAGAATTATTTACTAAAAATAATTTAGTTTAAGAAGAAAAAAACAATAGAAGAAATAGAATAAATAACTTAAATATAGAAATAAAATAATAAATAAGTTAATTTTAAATTAAAAAGTTTTTATGTGAAATAAAAAATATTTGGTAATTACAAATAATCAAATGAGAAATTCAAAATGTTTCCAGCAACAACAAATTAATTAGTTGGCTGAGTGTGGTGGCCACAGCGGCTCTAAACCTTAAAATAAGACCAGAATATTATGAATTGACCTTTCGGGACACCACAGAAGCAGATGGAAATTCCAAACATGAACATGATATTCCTGAGATTCAGTAGCAACAAATTGCATCATCATTGACACAAAGGATCTCCAAACTGGAACTAAACACTATATTGTAATAATCTAGTGTCTAATACACTGCGACAATGAGTATATTTCCTTTCTCTCTAAGCAAATGAATATATAATTGTATGAATCATCCGAAAAAAAAGGTATTTATATGCTCGAAATGTATAATATGTAATTTAATTCAATTTAGTATAATATTGTATTACTGTAATACCAGTGAAGATATTAAATTTTCTTATTTTATCATAATATAAATATTTCACTTTATTTGCTATTTCCCGAGAGAATTTATGAGTAATTAATATTAATCATGTGTGGGCATTTAGTGGTTTGTTTTAGGTAATATAATTAATATAACTGTGTCAATTAGTGTTGTCTTCTGATATATTTTTATTAATTACTGTTATCTTTTAATATCAGTGACACTAATTAATATTAATATTTCAATTTCCCTTGGTTTCAAAGAAAGAAAAAATCAGAAGGCAAACAAAAAAAAAACGATTTAAATTAATGGATTTCAAAATAATGGACTGAAAAGAATTTAATTAGAATGATAAATTATGTGCGACTATATTATCAAATAAATATTTATTTTTATTCGACTGTGATTTTAATCAATTAAATAGTATTTTTTTTAAATTAGAATTTACGAAATACATTGTCAATGAATAAATATATTAAATTCGAACTATTAGTTCGAAATTAATTTTCCTTTCTAACTTATTTGAATCAAATAATTTTCAATTGAATCAATTAATTTATTTTACTTTCTTCTTTCATGTTTATTTAATTCCTTATTGTTAAAAAAATATTTTATTTGAAATTTAAATTTGGTATTTAAAAAGTACCAGTTTAATTGATTCAAATATTAATTGGTAACAAGTAAATATTTATTTGTAGCAAATAAATTTTGTTTTCAGTAAAGAACAAAAAGTCATTTCAATGAAAGTGAAACAATAATAATGATAATAATTATTAGGCATTATATATTATATATTATAATAATTTCTCATAGAGAAAGGATTTTTCCTCTATTAGAAAGCAATTATTAAATAAAATAAATAAAAATTTTCAATTATTTTTAATGAAAAATAAATATTAACTTTACTTTTCAAAAAAAAACATGCAAATTTTTTTAAAGAAAGTTAAATCGTGCATAAAATACAATGACCCTAATAAATATATAAGAACTACAAGGCTTCATAGAGAAAACGAAAAGGAACATTAATTTTCTGGACAGAAATTAATAGTCACTGCGAATATATATTATATTGACAGTGGCGGAAAGTTGCCAAAAAATATTTTTAAAACACGATAAACAACGAAACACTAAAGAAACATACACACACATATAAAAATTACAAGTGTTAGAAAACTATCACTAGTGATCTCATACTTAATTTAAGATGATTGAATGATTAAATCTCTCTCTTTTTGTACATGCTGTTTTGTTATTGCTCTATTCACTAGATATAAAATGAGCTTTAGACTTTTTTTTAACAATAATAGTAATCATAATAAGAAGCATAATAATAATAATAAAAATAATTATTACTAATTAATTATTATTATTATTATTATTATTATTATTAATAACATTAATCATAATAATAAGCATAATAATATTAATAAAAATAATTATTATAACTAATTTATTATTATTATTAATAACATTAATCATAATAATAATTCTACTCCCTAAATTTAAATTAGTAAAAATGTTTACTAATTTCTATTAGTGACGGACTTTTTGCTTTTGAGTTAGTAAATTTTACTAATAAATTAATAGAAATTACTATTTATTAGTAAAATTTACTAATTCATATTTAGAGAGTAATAATAATACTAATAACAGTAACTATTATTATCATCATAATTATTAATTATTAATAATTAATAAATACTTAATAATAATAATAATATTAAATACATATTTATATGTAATATATTTCGTTTATAAATAAAAATTATTTGATTCAAGTAAATATTTATCATTATTATTATTTTAATAAGAATAATAATAAGAAGTAGAAGAAGGAGATGAAGAAAAAAAAGGAAGATTATTCCACATGACCTTAAACCATTTTATATTTCTGCTATATAAATGGACATATCTGGGTCATTGGGGTGTGTTTCATCACTTTTCTTTTTACCATCATAATCTAATCATTATTTTTTGTAAAGAATAGAATGGGAGATTACTGTCAATGATATACTATAACAGTGTCTTAATTTAATTTATTAAATAAAAAAATAATGTTATACCTAATCTTTTTGACTCATTGGTCCAAACTCATTCCCCCAAAAATGGTTTTTTGTTTTTCAAAAATTTCCCATTTAAACTATTAGCATTATGAACTTCTACTGCATCTTAAAATTAAAATAAAATCATATTAATTATTATCATAATAATTAAAATAGTATTATTATAATTGAAATATAATTAATATTGAATAACTATTTTTTAATTTTTATTTTGGGGTAAAATTTTCTTATAATTTCTATAATGAAAATAAATGGTAATTTATTATAAATTAAAAAAATTTTCTGGAAAGTAGAGAATACGTCAAATATTCATTATTCAAATAATAATTAATTAAATTTTTTTTAATTTTTCTGCTTTTTTTTTTAATGTGAAAAATTTTTAATTACGCTAATGATAGTATCAAAAGTCTTCCTTAAAAAATACGCAGAATACACGAGTTATTCACTTAATTAATTAGACAATAATAATAATAATTATTTTTTAATTACTTTTTTTCGCTAAAACATTTTTAATTATTGCGATAAGTTAAAAATATTCCTCGAAAATACAGAATGCATAAATTTTTTATTTTATTTATTCAAATAATTAATATAATATTGTTATGACTTAAATAATAAAAAATATAATTTTTTAAATTAATTTATTTTTTACTTGTAAAAAATTTTAATTACAATAATAATATGAAAATTTTCTTCGAAAATAAAGAATACATGATTCATTAATTTTATTATTCAAATAATTTTAAATAATAGAATGGAAATTATTATTATATTTGAATAATAAAAATGAATAATTTGTGCTATTTATTTTCCCTTAAATATTTTTAATTACCTACAATATAAAGTATTAAAAAAAAGTTCGAAAATATGGAATAATAATTATGAACCAGTTAAAAAAAAATAAATATGAAAATAAAATAAATAAAAATTATCAACGAGTTTTTCTCTAGAGTTTAAAACTCAGAAACAATAAAAATGTTGATGGAAAATTAAAAAAAAACAAAGCATTTATTATACAGTGAAATATTTAATATCTCGAGATAAAAATGAAATAGAATTCCATAAAGAAAATTATTTTTCTCATTTTTTTAAACAATGAAAGTATTTATTGTTTCTTGTTTTTTTACTAACTTTTCCAGTTCTTTAAACGATAAATTCATAAAGCTTCGTTGAGGCAAGAAAAAAGAAAAATTTCCACGGAATTAAATTTCTGGGTCGAAATTCGTTTTGCGATTCAAACATGATTGTGAATAATAAGTTAATCAAGGACTGCAAAACTTGTTTTCTGCGCCTTTTAATTCAAGTCCAATTTTAATTTTTTTTTAAATAAAAATGCATATTTCATAAAAAATAAATAAAAATTGAATATTTTTATTTTTTTTATTTTAAATATAAAAATTGCAATATAAATTCTTCCTAACAAATTTTCCTCTCGAATTTCTAAAAAATTTCCATTTATTCTCAAAAAACATCTCTGGAGATAAAATTATTTTTTCCTTTCACCGAGAGATTTACAATTTTAAGCCCTGTAGAGAAAAAAAAATTGTTTGTAATTTTTTTTCTTAAAAAAAAAAAAATACTTTGCTCCACTTTCTTTATAGAGACTAGGAGAAAAAAGAACAATAAACTTTTGTGTAAAGCTGTTTTCACACTCGCGTGTATTTTTTTTTCTATTATTCTATTCCCGAATGTACTGTGGGTATCAGTGAATCTGTTTTCGATGTGTAAAAACTTGTGAAATGATGAGATTATTGATTCCTCAATTTGTCAACTTGCAGGGGAAATGCATTGTAAAAAATAAACAAAATAAAAAATTGAAATATTGAGGTGTTGCTCGCTATTGCGTGGGTGACCCTTTTTGGAATCGTTCAACACGCTATTTATCATTTATAAATCGTCATTTTAAAACATTTAACGAATATGTTGGAATCTGCTTCATTTTGACCCAGTAAAAATAATTTCGTAATTTCCGAGAAATTCTTACATAAGGAACATCTAAATTCCATAATATACAGACTTTATGATTTGCAATAATTTATTTTTCATATTAATTCTCGATTTTCTTTGATATTTAGGAAACATTTCTGAACCCCTTTTCATTTACTTTTTATTATTTTATTATTGTAATTTTATTTAACTTTTTATTTAGTTATTTACAATGTACATTTAGCTTTTTAATTTTTTACAATTAAAAATTGTACTTAAATTTATTTTTCATTTTGTGTTTTATAATTAATTTATTTCTAAAAATTTTTTATAATTTTTGTCCAAATAGGATTTTATATTCACTTTTTTAAAATTTTATTTTCAAAATCCCTTGTGTATAAATTTTTTTCTTTAAAATTTTGTTCTTGAGAAAAAAATATTAATGCCAAACTTATTGAATTTACAATTTTCAGCAATAATTATAGATTTCTATTCTTTATAATTTATTTTATCATTTATTATATGTATTTATTATTTATTTATTATTTTTTAAATTAAAATCATTATTACTAATTATTGCTTAATATTATTTTTTGTAAACTTTATTATCAAGTAAATATTTACTTGAATCAAATAATTTTTATATCTAAATCATGTAAATTGGATTTAAACCAGTAATTTTAGTATAAAATCCAAATATCATTTAATTGACTTAAATAGAAATTTTTTTTTTCTTAATTTTGTTTATTAAATAAATTTATTTGATAATAGGCAATTAATCGCGATTATTTGAATCAAAGAAATTTTTTCTCAATCCATAAAATAGTTAATGATGTACATGAATTATTATTTATTAAATAAACAATTATAAAACTGAATTTTATAAATTACATTCATTTAAAAATTTCTAAACCATAGTAAAATTTTTTAAAATTATTATCGGATTAAAAAATCCAAAAATTCAGAAGGAAATT